TGTGCCGACTAGTTGGAACCAATTCATACAACAAATTCATGTCAATAAAATTGATACTTCAGATGAACGGGACACAATTCTTAGATTATCCCTTGTCATAAAATGGGGGGGGGGAGGGGATATTTACACGGGTTTAGAGCATTCTGGTGATATAGTCTACAGGGTGTTAAATCACTACTACAAAGGCGGGCCTCTGGCAGTTCAAACCCTCCAGTGACTATTTGGGAGAGAGAAGGGCCATCTGCTCCCATGCAATTACAGCCTTAGACCAATGGAGGGTCAGCTATGAGTTGGTTCCGACTGGACAGAAATAGGTTTGAGTTTCCGAGTTTAAACAGGTTTAGTCATATATTTTTACTAACCCAACAACTAAAACTATTACTCAAAATATTCTTAAAAAGGGAACCAGAACATGTTTTAGCAAAATTACAGACTGGCATCCAAATTAAAGGACACTGCCCATGAGTACCCACCACTGTGGACATGGTCCATCTTTTCTCCAAAGAGCTGCTTGTAGATTCAAACTGTTGACCTTCTGGCCAAAAGGCTAATACGTTATGCACTTTAAAAAATCATCTAATGGTTTCCAGCTACTACGAATGCCTGCTCTGAACAGGACAGTACTGAGCAAAGTGGGAAATAAATGTGGAATAAAACTTAAAATTACAATAATGCCTTTCTGGTCTGATAGCGTGGAGGAATCCCTGACACTCTGGGCCTTTACCACCCTATGAGGCTGGTTGGACCTGGGTACCTGAAAAGATGGGGTGATAGTAGGCATAGATCAATGGTGGTTAATTTTATAAGACACAATGTATGGGAATGACTGTATGAAACACATTGTGAATAAAGGAAAGTGTGAAACACAATGTATATGAATGAAACAGTGTATATGAATTTTGTATGCAATTTAAAATTAAAAAAAATTAAAGTTTTCATTGGAAAATTCTATCAAATATTTAAAGAATAACTGATACCTTAAAACTCTTTTTAATTTTAAATGGATTGAAGGTACTAATATTTTTACTATATGTGACATCATTTTCTACAAAAAAAGTATTTCATGTATTCTTCAACAGTGAAAATGAGTCAGTAAATCTAGTTGTTTCAACTAAGATGACAATTCTGTTGACTTTGTACTATGAAAAATTTACTTTTGTCAGTTTTGTTTTAAACCACTCATACTTCAATTTTTATATCTGATCCATAATAAATGCTAAATTATAAATAAAAAACCCCCCTCTTTTTAAAAATAACGGAACTCATGTCACTCTCTTAGCCACGGTTCAAAGATGTGACAAGAATGATTGAAAAAATAAAAACTAACATGTCATGAGCACACTTGAAAAATTCTTACAAATACACAAAATCACATGGAGCAACAACATATAAAAATAATAATGCTTCATGTTTATGTGAGGCTTGAAGTAAAAAAAAAAGAAAGAAAATCAATGAATGTGATTCACCCCACCAATTGGCAGCATCGTGATAAATGATGAAGAGATTGAGATTGTTAACAACTTTCGTTTGCTTGGCTCCATAATCAACACTCTTGGTACCAGCAGCCAGGAAATCAAATGATGTATTGCACTGGGAAAGTCTGCTGTCAGAGACCTCTCCATAGTATTGAAGAGCAATGATGCCAGTCTAGAAGCTAATGTGCACCGGATCCAGGCCATAGTCTTCACAATTACTTGCTATGTGTCAGAAAGCTGGAGAATGACTAGGGATGATAAAAAGAGAATTGATGTCGTTGAGATGTGGTTCTGGAGAAGAGTACTGAATGGACTGCTAAGAGACCAAACAGGTTTGTCCTGGAGAGGGTGAAACCAGACTGCTCCTTGGAGGCAAGAATTCTGAGGCTTCGTCTGACATACTTTGGTCATGCTGCAAGGAAGGACCAGTCCCTGGAGGGGTACATCACACTTGGAAGGATAGAGGGACAGCACAGGAGAGGAAGACCCTTGATGAGATAGATTAACTCAGTGACTGGGGTAGTGGGGGTAGGTGTGTCAGACAATAAGGTTGGCACAGGATAGAGAAGGTTTCAGGGCTTTTTACATAGGGTCACTATGAGTCGCAATGATGGCACAGTACTCCTTAAAAAAAACCAAGTCCAACACATAGAAACTTTTAGGGTTGAAAGTGGAATTTTATTTAGATGTTACTTGTACATAATCTATAGTAAGATATACAAACAGATAAAAATTGTTTTAACAGGAGCTGAGTTTGAGTTGTTAATACCACTTTAAGTTCCATTTACAACAGCAATGGTAATACTGCAAGATAACAGAGAACTCTGATTGAGAAAACAACATGGATTTGCTACTCCGGCTGATACAGTCCCACTAGTCTCCAGTGGGTTAAAGTCTATCTTGGTATCTCAGTTGCATATTACTACAAAACTTCCACAAACTAGCCACCTGGTGCTCATAAAAGAGCTGATGTTCTATAATGAGGGGGAAAAATCTGATACTCTATACAATGTTACAGAAATTTTAAAAAAATGTTAATTTTCTAGCACTCTTACTAAAGGAAAAAAAATTAAGTATTCCAAGTCTTAGGGGTTCGGGGAAAAACAATGCAAAATCATTTGCCTTACACAGCCACGCCACATCTGCATACCAAGTGCACAGTATGGAATTCCCTTTGCCTAGATGAAGTTTCAAAAATGGCTCACAAGAGATATTAAATATGTTGCTGTTGTGTGCTGCCAATCAATTCCAACTTGGAGCAACACTGCAGACCAGAGAAGACCTGACCACAGAGGGCTTCCAAAACCGTAACCTTCAAGGGGAGTAAGCGTCACGTCTTTCTCCCATGGAGCCACCAGTGAGTCTGAACTGCCACCCTAAGCACTGTAAGCACTGTGCCAAAAGGGCTCCTCACTACTGAAACGGGGTCAATTAAACTGGGGACAACTTAAAACAACCTGGCTATTCTTAATTGTATTTTTTTTTTAAAAATAGCAAAATTTCTAGATACACGATATATCTTTTTTTAATGTTTTCTCCATGCAAATACTTCCTAAAAATGAAAGCAAAAAGAGAAAAGACAAAATCTGCATTTTTAAGGTTTACAGGAATAGCCAGGATTTAGAAAAGATCTGTGTTTCAATATTAGAAGAAATCTAATTTACTGAAAATAAACAAATAAAAACCTCCAAAAATCACTTCTACCAGATTTCATCCTTCCTCCATTATTTTAAAGGAAGTGTACTCTCAAAAACCCTAGGATGCTAAAAATGCTCACTCAGATCAACAGGTCTGAGGAAAACTTTGCAATTCGGTCCCAAAGTCTGTGAGGCTGAACCCCACGGCCAGGCTCAATGAAATGAATGCCTAGTAGCCTAGCAAGAGTCCCCTCAAGACATGTGGATGATGACCAGGTGGCCAGGCAACTGTGAATAAACGTAAATCCTGTTTACATCCCTGCCATCAACTCAAAGAACCCATTTCTAATGGAAGATTCTCTGCTCTGTGTATTAAGTGACAGTCACTAATGGTTGTGACCTGTGTGATAAGCCATTAGGGAGCCATGACTTCCTGACCTCAGTGTGTGTGTGAAGTCATACCTATGATCAGAGCCTGGGGCATTTATTAATTCTAAACAAGCAATTATCTTTTATCCAGAAGTACAAAATAGACGCTCTCATTCTTGGGTTTCCCGAGGGTTTGTCTTAGGAAAATAAGCCCCACCGGTCTCTAGCGTGACCACATTGGGGGTGGCGAGGAAGGGACAAGGTGGTGGGGAGTGGCATTGCTACAGCTAAGGGTCTAAGGTGAAGCTGTGAGGTACTCTGGGAGAGTTAATGTGCCCGAGATGACATGTGAAAATAGAACCATGTGCTTCTAGGACAGAGCAAAAGCCCTAAGCATGTGCCTCACCCCAGATTGGGGTTAGTGAGTTGCCTACCCTAACCCTGTCACTAGATGCCCGTAGTCGATTCCAACTCCCAGCGACCCCGTGTGACAGAGCAGAACTGCCCCACAGGGCTTCCCAGACGGTCATCTTTCAGGGAGCGGGTCGCCAGGTCTTTCCCCAGTGGAGCAGCTGGCTGGCTTTGCAAATCACCCAGATGGGAGGAGCCATCTGAAATATACTCTGCAGAAGTGCACACGGACTCCCTGCACCGCTTCCAGAAAACCAATGCAGCAAGTCTGTGTGACCCAGGGTGCCATTCTAGTGCTAATGGTGGTCACCACTTGGGGAACCACCCCTAAAGCTCAGAAGGAAAAGGACCCTGCACTTGTCTGTCCTATCTCCTGAGCTGCAAAGGCGCCTGCAATATTGATCCCCTGTGTTCACTTCAGGGACTCAAGGGTGAAGGAGCGAGCATGACTCTGGCTGCCTGGGCCCCTTCTGATTTCACTAAAGCGTGCACAGGAAGAGAAAGCAGCTGCGGACCATCCATGCTCACTCAGCCACTACCGAGTCGGAAAGCAAAATTACTCCATTCTCCTCGCTCGCTAGCACTTTCATTCTAGAACCAACTTTGTTTGAAACATATCAGAAAAAACAAAACACACACCATAAAGAAAGCAAAATGCTATCACGTACTGATCGGAAGACATCACTGACTCATGGGAGTGAATCTTGGAAAGACCTATAGACTGGGCAGCTGCATGAACACAGAGCAAGCCTGCGGGACTGAAGGCCCATGGAGAAAGGGCCCAGACCGCATGAAACACTGTCATGGCCAAGAAGAAAGCACAACGCCATGCCCCTGACGACACGGGGACCACAGCCAGCATCCCGGGTGCAGCACGATTTGCTAAGTCAGTGGCACTTAAGTATTGCACAGTAAATACTGAAAGAAACCCAGAATTTTTGGAGGTGCAGAAGCAACATCACATTATTAATACAAAAAGTTGCTAAGCTACGGGATTATAATACCACTATTTGAGTGCTGGGACCAGGCAACATTAACAATGCACCAACAGCACTGGGTCTGCAGAGGGCAGCCGGGCGCTCAGCTGGTGGCTGCTCTGGACGCGGCCTCAATCAGACCAGTCATTGTCGTCGAACTCCGAGTCGTCATCCGAGTCGCTGTACTCCACAGCAATGCGCCTGGACAGGATGGTGGCCACGTCGTCCCCCACGGGCTCCCGCTTCGCCTCCTGCTCTCGCTGTTCCTGCACCTTTTTCAGCTGGATTCCTAAAGACACGAGATGCAGCTGAGAGCCAGTCCCGCAAGCCCACCCGAGTCAGCAAGGCTATCTCTCTTTTTTCCCTAGTATTGAAGTTGAGGATGGGAATTTTTAGAAACTCAAGGTAAGCGGAAGCTGGAAAGAAATTAGAAATTTCATGAAGAAAATAATACATGAACTCAAAGTCTTTCTTTTGAAAACAAAAGTATTCAAGTGACCAAGTAGATAACCAAGTATTTGGTAACAAAATACTGACAAGTTCCCTGTAAGGTTGGTGCACAGAAACGTCATGTAGGAAAGCCCCGGAGCTGTGGTTGGAGCACAGTAACCGCAGCATGGGGCGCTCTGGAGGCACAGTGCGCAGGGAACTAATCCTGAGGTCACACCTCTAGCTGTTCAATCCACCACTGGCTCCTCAGGAGAAAGATGGGCAATCTCTACCCATGTGATTTACCACCTCTGAAAACTTCACACACAGTCAGCTCTGAGGTGATTCAGCACAATGGCAATGAATAGGTTTTAAGCGCCACACTGGCCATTCAAATTTAAAATTCTAAATGGAAACCCATTGCCACTGAGTTGATCCCAACTCACAGAGACAGTAGGGTGAGGAACAGATGCTCCACGGAGTTCCCAAGGCTATGAACGCTAACAGGAGCAGACTGCTAGATATGTCTCCCAGGAGCAGACGGGGCTTGAAGCATCAATCTTACGGTTGGTGGCTGAGCTTACTTAACCACTACGGCACCAGCAAACCTACTGCTATTGGGACAATTCCAATTCATGGCGGCTCTTCAGGACAGAGGGGTGGCAAGGCTGTGAATCTTTAAGGGACAAAGTCTCATCTTTATCCAGAGGAGGGTCTGGTGGGTTTAGACTACGGCCCTTCTGTGGGCAGCCCAGACCTTCCACATGGGACTGCACAGACACAGGATGTGTCTTTTCTAAGAGGACATTCCACTGGACAGTGGCACATGCTCTTCAATGACTGGACCCCAGACACTGTCCAATGGAACGTCCTGTGACAAACATATGGTACCTGAATTTCATCTGTCCACAAGGATCTGCTGCTAAACATCCAGAAACTACTGATACGAGCTCTGTAAGCAAACCAATACAAAATAAAAAATAAAAAAAATTAAGTAACTACTGGTTTAGCATGATCGAAAGCAGAAAGGTCCAAAACGATGAAGGGTGCACAGAAAACAGCCACTATGGCCTTCCCACGACTTGCACAAAACGGATAATGTGTGTATTATTTGCGCTAAAATGTGGTTGTTGATCACTTCTGCGATCCAGTTTCTAGACCTGTGAAGTTTTCTGAACTCCCAATTCTTTTACTATATGCAACGTATACTGACAAGAAAGAAACAGAGCATTGTGCTTCCCCTGTTCTAAAAGACCACCTTCATAGGGCAGTCCTGGAGACCTGGTCTGTCCACATCCCTGGACTTAAGACAGCGCAGGGGGCCAGGGCACTTACCCATTCGAATAGCAGCCAGGAGATCGCTCCGCGCGTCGCTGATGGGGGGCTGCGAGGGGTCTTGCCGCTTGGCCTCGGCCACTGGGGCGGCGTGCATGGGGGAGGAAGAGAGCGAGGAGCCGGCTCCTGGGGGCCCGGGCGGGGGTGGTGGGGGCCCCGGTGGGGGTGGGGCAGTGACGACGAGCCCACCAGGCGGTGGGTGTGGTGGGGCCATGGGAAAGGCCTGCGTGGGCACCTGCAGAGGGCTAACGAAGGCAGTCTGTGCAGATGGGATCATGGGGGGTGGGGGCGGCGGTGGGGGTCCCGATGGGTTGTAATACTCAATGATCTGTGTTGGCAGCATCCTAATAAGACAGAAAGACAGACAAACTCTGAGTATCATCAAAAAACGACGGGAGGGGCACATCTTCGGAGGTTCTGACATGCCTAATGGGAATCCCAAACACACTGCCCTCCCATTTGTTCTGACTCGTGTTCCCTCTGGGAGGAGGCTGCCCATCCTTCTCCCACTGAGTGGATTTGACCTGCCAACCTTCTAGTCAGCACTACATCACAGAGTTCCTTTCTACAGAGAAGAGTGCTTCTCGGTTTTATGTCAGCAAGGGTCTCCCAAGGCACCTGGCGTGGACCCAGGAACCCAGAACCTCAGGACAGTCACTCACTGGTGCTGACATGTGCCCCACCCCAAAGTGGCTCTACGTGGAGGACATGATACAAGTAAATATTCCAATGTGCTTGGGCACTGAAGGGCCCTCTACTAAGAGCAGGGTGAGCCTGGACTCAGAGCTAAAGGTAGCCTGTCAGACTAAGGACGCAGGCTCAAAATTGATAAATCAGCACTTGAAAGTGAGGGGCTCCATCAGGTGTCTGGATACTGCCTGTGTGACCTTGTGAAACAATGACAGCTAGGACCCCAAAGGTCAAGGAATGCTGTTAAAATCGAGGACAAAAAGTGATGGACAGGGTGTCCAGTTCTAGTCTTCTCACGAGTGGTAAAAAGTCTCCGTAGGGGCCCAGGGCTTGTGAGAAACTTGAAGGCTTGGGACAGCTCACAAGGTAGGCACTTCCTCCTTATTGATGCCTCAACGATGCACTAAATATGTGCAAATAACTATAGAAATAGAATGTGTAAAAAGGAATACAGAGTGCTTCAGTGGCACAGCTGTTAGTGAGCTGTGTTGCTTACCCAAAGGCAGCATCAACTCCAGTGGTTCAAATCTATTAGCTGCTCTTTGGGAGGAAGATGGGCAGCCCTTCTCAATTGCTATTTACAGCCTCAGAAACCCAATGGAGTGTCGCTATGAGTTAGAATCCACTCAAAGGCATGGGTTTGAATTAGAAAAAAGAGTATAGCTGCAAACCTGAGTGTTATCTTTAAAAAGAGAGGCGGCAGAAGTGTGCAGCATCTACTTGGCTCAGCGTGGACTTTGTTATAAATACTTGTATCTCTAGCTGCGAATTCTAGGCTGCATTCTGACTTCCAAAGCGTCAAATGATTGTGAACATTCTCACACACACCCCCCTCTTTAGGGGGAAAACACAACAACTGCCTCCAGTACACTGATGTGGCCCACAGTGCTTCTAATAGCTAACTTGTGGGATGTGGCTTGCCAGGCCTTTCTTTAAAGATGCGTTTGGGTGGCCTTGAACCTCCAACCTTTCAGCTAGCGGCTGAGCTGCAGAACCATTTGGAGTATGTGGGAACTCAAAGCCACACCAAAGCCACACACAGTGGGTGCAGTTGGGGTTCCCATTGCATGGACTCACCCATAGTCCGCAGGGGCCCCGGGGATCGAGGCCTGAGAGCCATCTGCAGCCTGTGGGGGTGGCGGTGGGGGTGGCTGCTGCGGTCTATTGAGGGTCATGTGCCTGGCTGAGCCGGAGGGAGGTCTGAACTCATGCTCAGTTGCCTGACCGCCTGCTCCATGAGGTGGCCCATCGCCGGCCACATAAGAGGGTGTCCCAGGCTGCGGGTGCAGCGAGTGGTTTGGGGTGGCCGGGTACGAGTAATCCGTGACATCCGAGGCATGGGACCTAAAACAAAAGCAAAATGACAGAGAGGGAGAAACACAAAGCAAGCTTAAAATAAAACAAATCCAACGCCCCTAGTACTGTACATTCATTTGAGTATCAAAGGCACAGAACACATATTTATATCACTGTATTATCAACTACGTAAAGCCCCATGAGAGCCCCAGAGCAATGCGGTCATTCTGAATTTAGCATCAGCCCAGTGTTACATGGATTCGGATTCAGAGCTTTAGAATGAAGAAGTCAGGCTGGCAAGGGAGTGCACGGGGCACTGCTTGCACCACATTCCCACAGACGTTCTCTCCATGATCCCAAATAATAAGGCAAATTCTGATTAATTTAAACACAGAAGCCGCGACAGAGAGACCTGAGACTTCAGCAGTGAGGAAACTGACAGAAATGGCACATGAGTGAGGTAAGTGTTAACAGTGGGGATAGAAAAGGAAACCAGGAATGCAACACAGCAAGGTGCACGCTTCTCAACAGGAGGAAGGCATTAACCTAGAGAGAGAGAAGCCCCGGGCAGTTGGAGGCGAAGTTCTTCCCGCTTTCCTTGTACACTCGGCTGGGTACTGGAATCTGGAAGGAGTGAAGACTGTGCATTAGCTAAGCGCGTTATTCAAGGTTCTGGAGCCCAGGTGCAGGGGAGACCCCTGAGGCATTAGTAACATCACAGCAAGCAGTGGGCCTGGTGCCAGGTTACAGGGCACAGGTGTGAGGAAAGGGGACCCATGTCCTCTTGTGATGACTGAAGCAGGAGCACAGCCTGAGATCGGGGGTTCCCCAGGAAGCGAAAGGACAAACCCTCTGGCCAGTCTATCCTCTCCGGCTGCTGGCTCTAGCGTCCGGGCGTCGCTCATGAATTCAATGCCCATCTTCCTCCTCTCCCACTCTTCCCTTCTTGTCCTCACTTTTCTCACATGGATCTGCTGGCTCCTGTTGGGATTCAGCTTGTGCTTCTCTCTCTGGTGGAAACAGGCAGAAACACGCTGGGGAACCGAGAAGGCATGGGCTGGATTTCTGGGGATGAAACTCGGGCACCAGGAGGCTTCGTCACCAGAAGAGCCTGCATTACTATTTCCTTCCCTAATTCCCTAAGTATCAGCACTAGACAATGAGTGCATGTGATCACAGCTTTCAAGCTACATACTATTAGCAAAAGAGTTACAAATCGTTTTCATCTGGAAAGAACTTCACCTTCACTGAGGGGTGGTTGTTGGGTGCTATGGGGCTGTCTGATTTGCAGTGACCACAAGTGGCAGAGCAGAACTCCCCCAGGGTCTCCCTGGCTGTGACTTTTATAGGAGCAGACCGCCCAGTCTTTCCCCCACATAGCTGCTGCTGGGTTCAAAGTGCTACATCCTGGTCACAGCCAACTGCTTAGCTGTTGGACCACCAGGGCTCGTGTGCTTGCAGTTAAGGCACGTGAAAAAATTGTCAATACTCAAAACCTGATGCCACTGTGTGTCACTAGTCTCTTCAGTGTACCATGCTCAGTGGCTTGTGACTGCGATGCTGGAAGCTGTGCCACCAGTAATTCACACGCCAGCAGAGTCACTCCCGGACTGTGACAGAACAGGAAGCAGGACTGGCCATCTCTGCTGCAATCCCTGGCTAGTGGACATGGTGTGACAGCAGTGCCCACTGGCTTAGACAGGCCCAGAAGAACACCCCCTCGGACTGGCATCAGAGCAGAGCCAAGACTGTGAGGGTGGTGCCGGGGCAGGCAAGCTCCGTGGTCTGCTGAACACAGGGGTCACTACCCGCGGGAGCTGAGCTGACAGCACTTAGCCTCACCTCACGACTGACCACCTACACAACTTTTTAGTTTCCTGTTTACAGAGCAAAATATGGGAAGTCTCCGATGAAATGAGAAGCTGGAAATTATAAACAGCATGGCTCAATAGAGAATGTCACCCCTACAAAACGACTTAGTGATACAGGGCAAAGGAACAAAGGAAAAGGGAATAATTATATGGAAAAGAAACATGAAAAAAGGAATGAGCTTTTTTAAAAAAGAAAAATTAGTAAAAGCAGTAAAACAGTGTAGTTTCTAGAGGTAGAATTGTCACAAGGGGTGGCTCTCAAAGGACAAGGGTGCAGGGTTGTGAGAGATAGAGGCCAGCCAAGGAGTGGACGACTATGAAGGGAATGAGGGCAGGGGCAGGCAGAGGCAGGAAGTGCCACAGAGGAGCAGCAATCAGCATGGAGTTACTCAGCATGGAGGTCAGTGGGTGGGTCCCGAAGGAGTACGCTACAATCACCCTGTGCTGGACAAGAGATTGGTGTGGGTGGGATGAGACTGGAAGGAGCAGTGGAAAGCTGCGCGTGAACCAGAGAATCAAATAAATTCTGGAAGCAGCAAATAAACCCTGGGGGAGTCAAATAAATCCCAGGTGCAGGGAGTTCTGGGTAGAAAGGCAGCGCGAGCTGAGAGCAGCACCATGTGGCTTGGATGAAGGTAAGTAGATCTACAAAGACAGGTCATACCTGATTGACAGTGCAAGAATCTCGGGCTTTTTCTTCTGCACATTAATGGGCAGCCACTGCCCCTTGCTTACTATATTTTGAAAAACATTTTATTGTGTTTAAGGTTTATATTTACAAAGCAAATTGGGTTTGGAAGTTTTGAAGTAAAAAAATCCATATATATTTAGTTTTGAGATATTACAATCTTCGCTTAACAGCACTCCCTGTTTCCCAATATTGTGTGTGAGAGAGTATATGTGAGTGAAAGAGAGAGTGAGAGAGAGGGAGAGAATGAGTGAAAGAGTGTGAAAACAGGGTGTCTGTGTGTGTGTGTGTGGGGGGGGGGGGAGCGCCGGGACGAGCATGGCCTCAATTCTCATTTTAAATTCACCACCCGTTCCTGACAAGAGAGCAGAACGTTAGGGTTAATTTACATGGATGGTGGTAAAACAGAAGCAAAGCTATAAAACTGGGCATTTCAATTTCCCTAAGAGTTACCTTTAAGTATATGGAGATGAGAGGAGGCAACCATTCAAAACTGTATTTCTGAGTGATACTTCAGATGTGAGATACAAGAAACAAAGTCACAAGATAGAACAAAGTGTGATTCTGATTTCATAAAAAAACAAAACATACACATCTATGTACAAAGAAGGCTCAAAAAATTTACTTTAACTTCAAAAGCTGGAACCTGTATAAGGTAAGCCTGTCAGAAAAAGAATTCTAGTATTTTCCACTAAAGGGAGCAATAGAGACTTGGTTAATTAAGATTGTGCCCTGTCCAACATGAATAGCATGCAAGTCCTAGAAAAGCAAGGTCCTGTGAGTTCCAACTCTGAGCCAGTTCTGCGCTAAAATGCAAACTCAACTTCCCTTTCAGGCAGGATTAGGGTTGATATTCTTCCCTGTAATTTCCAAATATAATTTAAAAAAACAAAAACAAAACCCCAAAACAACCAGCCACTAAGTTCATTGGCATCAGGCTGGCGCTCACAGCTGTACAGAGCAGCTAGTGGATAAGAACCACCAGAGAGGTGGCCTTCAGCCTTCAGGTTAGCACAATTCCCTACGGACTAGTCACGGAGGATCCCGGTGTGTCAGAATTTGCACTCTCTCTATGTCAGAGTTTGTGCTAAATGCTGACGTTACAAAGGTTTAAAAAGGTACAGATATAGGGAGACTTGGTGCATAATGCGGTTTGGTTCCAGAGCACATTAAGAAAGAGACTACTACTAACTTAATGGTAAGAAGCTGTCCTGTAATTTCAAAGTCACCTGGTTCAAATCCCCCAGTTGCTCTGAGGGAGGCAGACAGGCAATTTCCTCCCAGGCAATATACTACCTCTGACAACCAGAACCTACAGGTGGGTTCCAACTTGACAGTACACAACAACAACTGCATTAAAGAGAGTCACATAATTTTGTTTTGTTTCCCAGTGCACAGAATATGTAACACTATAGTTTAAAGTAGGGAGCACTGGTGGCCCAGTGTCAAGAAACTGCACTGCAATCCCAAAGGCACATGGTTCCGCTCCTTGGAAGAAAGATGGGCAATCTCCTCCCATGCAATTGTCTCTGAAAATCCACAGGGGAGTCAGCTATGGGTCAGTTCTGACTTGATGATACACAATAACATAGTTTAATGTAAACATAATTACTTGCTATGCATCTGAAAGAAAGCTGGGCAATGAATAAGCATGACAGAAGCTTTGATGCCTTTGAGTTGTGTTGGAGAAGAGCACTGAATATCCTACGGATGGCCAAAAGAACAAACAAATTGGTCTTGAAGACAGTGAAGCCAGAGTGTCCCTTGGAGGCAAGGATGGTGAAAAACCTTCTCACATACTTTGGGCATATGTTATTAGGAGAGGCCAGTCCTTGGAAAAAGACATCATGCTTGGAAAGGACCTTCAATAAAATGGAATGACACAGAGGACTCAACAGACGCCAGTATATAGGATATGAGGATGGCACAGGCTAGGGAAGGGTTCGGATCTGTTCTCCACAGGATCCCTGTGAGTCGTCTTCGACTTGACAGCACCTAACAACAACACAGTCTATGAAGGGAGCTCTGGTACTAAGGACCCAGGAAATTACACTGCCAAAACAAAGACAGTGCTTCAATGGTGGATCGAATCCACTAGCAACACTTCAATGGTGGTTCAAATCCACCAGTAGCACTTCAGGGGAAACATGGGTTATTTCCTCCCATGTGATTTATAGCCTCCAGAAAAACTGGAGTGTCAGTTGGGAGTCCGTTATGCCAGCAATGAGTTTTTGAGATAATCTCTTATATTTTCAAAAGCATTATGACAAGTGAAATATTTTAAGAATTACCAAAACGTAGCACAGAAATACAAAGTGAGCGCATGCTTTTGGAAAAATGTTACTGACAGACTTGCAGGACTCAGGGTGGCCACAAGCCCATAAAAGCCCCATTATCTTTGAAGCACAATATAACAAAATGCAATAAAATGAGGCATGCCAGCATAACTCCAATGCAAGCTCTTGCTGTTTTTCAAACATCACATATTGTAAAAAGTCTCTATTTGAGGTTTTATGTGCTGATGAAAACTGAAAATATATATAAATGGAAGGCTACAGCTTTCTAAAAGAAATAAGAAACAAAATAAAAACTTGAAAATCGATGACTCAGTTCCTGTTGTCCAACAAAAACCTTCTGTGACAATACAGATTGAGAGGTTACATCATTCACACCTGCAAGAAATCATCTTACTCAATTGCTAAAAAAACCCCCACATTTTTAGTAAACCTCTACATAATTATTCTCTTTAAGTTACTATACACAGCATTCATTCTCTAAATAAGTATCTTTTGTTCATGCTTTTTAAAAAGAGTTACAATCAAAAAGAACAAATCAGTTATTTTTTCATCACATTATCACCCAACCACATTATCATGCTTTAATACTGAGTGGCAAGGAAAATTCAACCTTTCAAGCATAAGATATAAGGAAAGGACTATATTATTAGTAAAACACAGAAGTAATTCACTGGCTCAAATTTACACTTGACTACATTAGCCAAGCAATGCATCCAAGTCAGATTAGAAATCACACAAAGTCAGTCAATGCAAAATGAAACCATTTTAAAGTATTCCTTCTAATTTCAAATGTACAAAGTTAACTTGTGAGGAACCTTCTGGAACACTGGGAGCCACAGAGACGCCAGAGCGAGCCTGTGTTTCCGGTGTGTAACAGAACTGAGGAGCACGCGGCCTGGGCGTGGGGGGGAAGGAGCAGAGATGCACACACACCTAGTATCGGGGGACAGGGATCCCTCGGAAGACGCGCCGTGGCACACACTCTGAGACAACCTGTTGTCGGGTCTAAGCTCCTTGTCATATGCCATCATATTCCACTCCTGGCGCCTGTTCCTGGCTTTTCTAACCTTTTTCACCTCGCGGGTTGTGCCATCTATACGCTTTTGCTCCTGATGTCCAGGAAAAAAGAGAGAGCATGCGAGACAGAAGGGAAGGGAAAGAGCAGGTTAGATGCCATGACAATGTCTGGGGGTGAGCTGATGTGTATACAGAGACACTCCCATCACCGGGCCCCAAGTGTGACCCAACTCTCAGTTCTCTTACCCAACGTACCCAATATTGAGTGAGCCTGAACCACTCCACCTGCCCAAATAAAATGTACCATTCTCTTAGTACTAAATAGCTGGTGCCTGTCATTTTTAGTGACCATGTCTCACTCACTAGACTTTAAGTTTGTGTTAAATCTACTTCATCAACCTCTTTCAAGTATAGAGGTCAGACAGGGAATTCATTCCTGCCACTTCCCACTCCTGAATGGCTTTTTAACAAGTAATCATCTTCAAAGGAATGAGGCAAACATTTCACTCTTGGTTTCTAAAAGACCGTACAGAATGTTTAAGCTAAGCCTGCAAATGGCTTAATACAAACAAAAACAAGATCAAAACTTACCTGCCCATACAAGGTCACTCTTGTGTCAACCCTAGGTGGTCAGGAGCATGCCAGTAAAAATGTATTCCCTAAATACTTAAGGGAGCTCTGGTGGCCTAGTGGGTATGGAGGAACACTGCCAACCCAAGCCCAAAGTGGTTCAAATCCACAAGTTGCTTCAGGGGAGAAAGACAATCTCTTACCATGCAATTTCCTGTCTCTGATAACTCACTGGAGGGTCAGCCATGAGTCTGTTCCAGCTTAATAGCAAAGAACTGACAAATGCATGTTCTAGCAGTGAGGCTAATGTCTACATGTGGCAGTGAAACCTGCAAAAGCTGTAAGTCAAAAGGGACTGCTGTGGTTTTCTGGGTGTTGAAAGTTTGCCACCTTTGATGAGGTGATGTCCCCTCGTTTTTCCATGGTCATTACTAGAAACCACAGGTGTACCCCTTCACAGACAGATGTCCACCTCACCCAGCTTCGAGGTCTTGCAGGTTTTCCCATACATGTTTCTCCTTTAATAGCCGATAATCTTTAAGAGATGTGTGCCTTTACTTCTTCTGCCCTTATTAATATACCCTGACACACAGTTTTACACACAGGACATCTTTGAACTGTACTGCTAACAAATATCCCATGGACTGCCAAAAGACTAAGAAACCTGCTGAGGAGGAGGTGCCACTAGAGTGCTCGTCAGAAGCAAGGATGATGAGCCTTCCGTCTCGCAAAATTTGGACATAATATCAGGTGGGGCCAGTGCCTGGAGAAGGACATCATGCTGGGTAAAGTAGATGAAGACTCTTAACAAGATGGACTGACACAGTGACTTCAGCAATGGGCTTAAGTACATCATAGATGGTGAGGATGGCCGAGGAGCAGGCAGGGTTCTGTTGCACCTAGGGTCACTACAAGTCAGGGCTGACTTGACAGCACCTAACAACACTCGACAGTCTGTGACGATCAAGCGTGCAATGGGAACATGCCCTGGCTGTCAGTGCTCACAGCCTCTACGCCCTGCATTTAGGCCCAATGACACCAACTGCAAGGAAAGACTGCCTGCTATACTCTTTACACTCTCAGTCCCAAGAGGAACAAACAAAATCACAGAGAAAAACATGATGATTTGGTAAAAGTGAATGTGTAAACATGAATCACAGCAAGTGCACATGGAGCTGCACTGGTAGCCCAAAGGCAGTGCCTCTGCGAGTTCCAATCCACTAGATGCTCTGTGGGAGAAAGGTGGGCAATGATATACAGCCTCAGAAACCCACTAGAAGGGTGAGCTATGAGTCAGTTACAGCATGAAAACTGGAAATACTTGCTGTGGAAGGTTCAGGTCTGGCTCAGAGTCCCAAGTCCATGGCACTTCTTGGTGTGGCTTGGACATCTGTGGAGTTCTTTCTGGCCAGCTCCTGCTATGTGGCTTTGCCCTAAGCAAGTGCAGTTAGAGCGCAGACCACAGCTGCCACAGGAGCACGTGGAGCAGTAATTTGCTGGGCATGCCCTTAATGGTCCCCCGAGCCAATCCTGTAAGCTCAGAATTTGAAAGGGTGTTCTTGTGCAGTCACAGTCTACTCACTGAGGCAGCCCAGACCACGAAGGTGCTCAGAATCTCATTAATGAAAGCAGTGGGATGAATCCATGGAATATCTTCACAACCACTGTTGACAGGTTTCCCTGTTCCAGAATGTCCTTTGTGCTGTTAAGAGTCTTAATAAAAGATGCTCTATAGAGCCCTCGCACATTGGGATGCTAAGCAAAAGGTCAAAGGTTCAAATCCAACAGCAACACCATGTAAGAAAGATTTGCAGTCCCTCCTGTGAGGATTTACATACAGCCTCCAAAACCTGATAGAAGGTCGCTGTGAATCAGAATGGGAGCAACAGCAGTGGGTTTGTGATGGTACCCGCCCAGAACGTTGTTCTGGAAGCTGGGGGAGGCTGTCCAGATCTGGGGCGAGTCAGCATCATTCTGAAAAGGAGCCTGGGTTAGATGTGTGCCAAGGAAATCAAGAATGTGTATGACTCTGAGGAGGAGTTGTGAAAGCAGGTCAGGACCCAAGAAGAATGAGGGCCCAAGAGAAGCTAGAGAGGCAGGTTAGGCTTGAAGGCTAAAAATGTTCTTTTATAGAAACCACAGAAAAATGTTTTAAGAAGATGGAAAAGCAGAGGCTGACATTATGAAAAATCACCTGAAAACGATTACTCTGTGTTGTGCAATGTCATGTCGGAACCGACCCACAGCCGGCCCTCCAGAGCACTTTCAGAGGCGGTTTAATTGCACGGGAGGAGATTGCTCATCCTTCCCCTGCAGAGCCCTGATGGATTCAAACAACATGTCACACAAATTCTCTGTTAGGGACAATCCTTTAATAGGGGAGAAACAGGAAGTTCCGCTGGAGAGCAACTATGGTAACAAGAAGGCAGAGGTTTGAGGGACAGGAAGAGAGAAGTGGACTGTTTTCTGAGGTGTTCAGGAGGATCTGAGAAGGGACTGGCAGAAGATCAAACCAAACCACTAAACCCACCACCACTGAGCTAATTCCAACTCATAGGGACAAGGTGGGACAGAGCAGGACTGCCTTGAACAGGGTCGCCAAGGAGTTAATATTACATCATGGAAGCAAACTAAGATTTTCTCCCTCAGAGCAGCTGGGTGGATCTTAACCGTGGATTTTTCAGTTAGCAGTTCAACACCTAATACACTGCACCACCAGGAGCAAAAGATGTAACTTTGAGACCCACAGATGTACCCATGCTTAACAAAGGCAGAAAAGGATGTGTAATGTAAACTGCCTGTTTTTGCTCATCAAAATAAGTATCAAGGAAGGTATATCAAGTGTATTAACTGGTTCAGTGTTTTAAGAGAGGGAGGCAATAAAATTCCCTCTCCTCCTAATCAGCAGCAGAGCATACTATGGACACCACCACCAGAGCTCCTTAAAGTCCCCCTCCTCTGATGGGTAATTCTCGTGTAGGATTAACCTGGAGAAGTGTCTGCACGTGAGCACGGAAGCCCGCTGCAGGACGCCCGCTGCAGTACCATCATAGCCAGTACTGGGAAGCAATGGCAGTGTTCAATATTGCTGTTATTACATATCATCAGGTCATAAGTGACTCACAGCTGACCCTCTAGCAGGTTTTCAGAGGCAGTAAACTGAGAAAAGACTGCCCATCCTTCTCCCCTGGAGCAGCTGGTAAATTAGAACAAGGAGCCTTTGGGTTGGCAGCGTAACTCCTTACTAAGATACCAGAGCTTCTTAGTCATTATTAGGTAAATGGATGGAACATGCACAAGGCTGCTTGGGAATACTACCCAACTAAAAGAAAAAAGAAATCTTTACTGAGACATGCAGAGAGATATACTCAAAGAGGCATGTAGGATTCTATCAAAATCCTTTGTAAAAGCTGTGTGTACTCATGAACACACACACTTCTTTCCTGCTCAATCTCAGAGTCAACAGGTCAGAACCCCCTGGGAGGAGGTCACCCATCTTTTACCTTCAGAGCCACTGGTGGATTTAAACTGCCAGACAGCATGGCTTTGGGGTTAGCAGCACAACAGACTAAGCGGCAAACGTTTGAATCCATCAGGATCTCCTCAGGAAAAAGACTGGCAGTCTCCCTTCATTAAGATTCACAGCCCTGGTGATTACGATTCACAAGCCTAATGGCAGGACTCAACTCCATGGCACTGGATTTGAAAGCTGTTTTTGTTACCATGTCAGCTACGAATTGGTTCCAATTCCACAGCACATAACAATGACATTAACAGTTTTTAGGAGAAAAGATCTGGTTGATCCACTCTCGTAAAGATGACTATAAACCCTAAAACTATACTGGTCAATTCTGCTCTTGTCACTCGGGGCCACTCTGTGTAGTAACAGACTCGATGGCACTGGTCAACACTAAGTCGTACCCTGGAGGTGGGAAAAAGCCTTCTATGTCACTTGGACTTTTCACAACCAGCATGGATTATCTGTATAGTTTTGAAAACCAAAAGGAACAAAAGGGGTGGTGGAAGTGATTTCAGTGTGACAACAGTATGCAGCCTGATAAAGATCATCTCTATTACGTTAACAGTTCTCACTCTTCCTTTCAAGGGATATATGTGACATATTTAAGAATTAAGTATTAGAAAAGCTACAACTTTTGTTATAATGCTCAGCCCTCAAATCTATCCAACCACACCAGCCTATGTTAAAATCTTAGACTATCCAACTGTTTCCAACTGCTGAATGACTGCATATAATCCTTTCTAGCATGAAGCATCCCCTCATCTGCCCTCCATCCCTCCAGCACCCCTTCCCATGTGCACTTGCATGCATACATGACATGTATACACACATGCACACGTACATGCATGCACAGTACATACACACATGGAAACATCCACACACCTGTACACGCACACATCTATGTGTGAGCATGCACACACAGTTTAACTTGTACTGGTGGCCTAGTGGTAAGAAGCTGTACTGCAATTCCAAAAGCCTACAGTTTGAATCTACCAGATGTTCTGCGGGACAAAGTTGGGCATTTTCCTCCTGTGTGATTTATTGCCTCTGAAAAACCTGCTGGAGGGCCAGCTATTAATTGGTTCTGACTCAATGGCACACAACAACATTCATCCTAAAGGTCTCTCAGTTTAAAAAGCAATGTAAATGATAACTTCTTATAGGTCGTCTTTGCTGCCCACTTCACTTGCATGAAGTTGCCTACCCTTGTAGTCTCGCTCGCTGCACTCTGCTTTTCTCTGACCACTATGATTACTGATGTGGTCACTCATATTCAATCTGCATCTGGGTCATGATTGTGTCTTTGTGCACAGTGGGTATATACATGCTCAAAGAAAGGCTATTTCCTCCACTCACCTGCTGTTGTACATAGGGTCGCTATGAGTTGCAAACGACTCGATGGCACATAACAAAAACAACGTGCCTATTCCAGGACACTGAGGATCCACTGTTTTGTACCACTGTGTACCCAGCATCCGTAAGACACTCAAGTAAGAATTCTTAAACAAATGCCTAAGAGAGTGAATAGGGAATTCTGGGGATAGTAAAACAGCTGAGGAAATGGTCAGTCTTAAATACATGACAACTACAGGTAAATGCTTGGTTCCACTGTCAACACTCTTGGCACCAGTTGTCAGGAAATCAAAAGACAAACTGCACTGGGAAAATCTGCTATCAGGGACCTCTTTAGAGTACTGAAGAGCAATGATGTATGTCTGGGGACTAAGGTGCACTGGATACAGGCCATGGTCTTTGCATTTACTTGCTACATGTCAGAGAGCTAGACAATGACTAAGGACAAAAGAAGAAGACTCAACACCATTGAGTTGTGTTGCTAGAGAAGAGTGTTGAACATACCAAGGACAGCCAGAAGAACAAACAGGTCTGTTCTGGAGAAGGTGAAACCAGACTGGTCCCCAGAGGCAAGGATTTTGAAGCTCTGTCTCACAAACTTTGGGCACATGGCCAAAAGGGTCCAGTCCTTGGAGAAGGACATCATGCTTGGAAAGGTGGAGGAACAGCACAGGAGGGGGAAGATGCAGAATGAGAAGGATTGACTTAGTGACAAAAAAAAATGGGACTGGATCTGACAGGATGAAGAGCTTGGCTCAGGACAGAACAGTATTCAGAGCTATTGTACATAAAGTAGCTATGAGTCACAGATGACTCGACAACATATAACAACAACAGTTGCATTCAGGCTGTTTTTCCCTCAAGGACAATGGCAAAAATTAAGTATGTCTGCAAAAAAAGTAACACCTAGAGGGCCATTTCAGTTTGAAAACAAGAACATTTTAAAAGGAAGTACTTGGAAAAGCTATGCTTTTATTTTGTTTCTGTTAAGGTATGGGTGGGGCTGAGACAAACGGGGCTTTGAAGAGTTTTTTCTTTTCCATTCAAGGTATTAATTAATAACTTTCTTTTCTTCACACTGATATTCTCCCCAGTGTTCTTAAATCTGTTCAGAACAAGGAGAATACAAATAAGTCAAAGCCTTGGGAACCCACAATCCAGGAGTAAAACTGTTGATGTGTTCAACCTGAAAGTTGTCTTGTTGCTTTTTGATAAATGGAAAAATGGTGATTCTAAGGGTCCCAATGAAGAACAAACAAATCTCTCTTGGAAGAAGCACAGCAAGAATGTTCCAGAAATGTAAGATGGTAAGACTGGCCATGTTGTTATGAGGGGCCAGTCCCTGGGAAATAACATCATGTTTGGTAAAGCAGAAGATCAGAGAAAAAGGGAAGATCCTCAAAAAGAGGGACTGACACAGCGGCTGCAGCAATGGGCTTGAGCCCCGCTGTGACTGTGAAGACGGCCCCGGATCAGACCATGTTTCCTCAGCTGCGACTGTGAAGACGGCCCCGGATCAGACCATGTTTCCTCTGCTGGGCTCAGGGTCGCTAGGTGTCAGACTTGACTCCATGGCACCTAACAACACAACCACAATAGCACTCCAGTGTGTGGCACAGAAAGGAAGCCATCACTTTTACACCAAGCTCAGAGAGAAAAACCTTGGTGCATACGAGCCTTTAAAGGACTAGCTCTTCTCAGGGGCTGTTTAAACTGCATGCTACAAAGGGGATATTTTAAGCAGAAGTCAATCTACAGAGATTCGGCTTGTCCTTCCCAAAGTTCCTGGAACGTGATGCTGTGTGATGTTTAAACTTCCAGTTCTTCATCCCACCACTCTCCTACCAAAGTGATTCCCCACTTCAGTATATAGTATCGCCTAGCCAGCGGCTCTCACTGGCTTCTCAGCCCAATTCTATGGTCTCAACTACAGCTAGGAGGTTCTTAACTCACCCAGGTCTTAAATACAGTTGACGTCTTAAATCTCCCAGGTCTTAACTGCAGTTATGATGTCTTAAATCACAAAGTCTTAACTACTGCGACGAGGTCTGAACTCTCCCAGTGCTCAACTATAGCCAGAAGATCTTAATTCACCCTGGTTTTTTCAACTGCCAGGTATATAGGTGGTTATACAGATGACGTCTTAAATCACAATGTCTCAACTACAGAGAGGAGGTCTTAACTCACTCACTCTCAAGTCCAACTATGAGGCAACCCACCAACTAAACTTGAGAAGGAGGCAGGCAGGGCATCTGGTATGCAGGTAGTGAGGGCCTGAAGGGGGAAATTCAAAAACATAGAAAGAAAAATAACACAAATGCTTACAAACAAAAATTATCTCTTCAATTATTATTTTTGTTAAAGCAAAGCATGTGTTAAGAAAGAAAATTTATTGAAAAATAGCATTACTGTGTTAAATAGGATTGTCAGGATTTCGCATATGAAACGTAACCTCTGGAAAATCTTCATCACTGAGTCTAACTTCTCCACCACTTAACTAGTCCACCAGCTGAGTTTTAGGTCTACCTCTCCACCATTTAACTAGTTCATTGACTGTGTTTTAGGCTTCTCTCTCTGCCATTTAACTGGTCACTGACAGGTTTGGAGCCCATATCCCATGTGCACACTGCCATGCACAGCTTCCTATCAAAACAATTTACCTTCTGTCGCCGTTTCTCCTTCCTTTTGTCTTCAGTGTCCTGAAGCATTTTTTCTTTCCAGAGGTCAAAGAAATAGGAAGGATCGGTGTAGAACTTCAGACCATCCTTCTTGTCATCTCTAAGAATCAACAGATTGCAAGTCAGAACAAGGTCTTCTCAAGTGCCAGGTTATTTAGAAGGTTTAACATTAACTTAATTTTAGCACAATGGCAAACTCATTCCTTGGTGCAGATTGAGCATCTCCATGGGCCTTTTAAGAATCTTCCACACTTGACTAACCCCGGAACAACTCAGATCTGTGCTGCATAAGTCAACCTCCACGTGGACCTTTCTCCCTTGCCACTACCACAGTGAGCTCAGGTATTCTAAGTATCTGCTTAAAATGCCATGTCACGCTGATGCTGACCTCGTGATCCATTTGTCTTACCAAAATACCAACAGGTGAAAAAATTCAAGTACAAGTCAGTCTGTGCATTCAAACCCATGCTGTTCAAGGTTCAACTGTAAACTGTATTCAGATTCTTGACTGCATTGATTGTAGCATCCTTAACAACCTTGATGTTCAAGGGTAGATCATTTGTACATTATTAAATCTCTCAAATCTCCTTATTTGAAAAAAAAGTAGAACTATAGGACAGTAAATTGTTCTAAAATATTAAGTGATCTGCATTCTAGCTAACTCAGAACTAAATACCAAATATAGCTATGAAATCTATCACATGGCTGGCTCATCAGAAACAATTCTGAGTTGGTGATTATTTCAGGAAATGTTTTGTCAATGCCAACAGAAGCCTGTGCATAGAAGTGGATGGATTCTGAGTACACGCACACACTCCTCCTCACGAGCACTGACGTTATTAGGATAAAAATTTAAAAATGCCTTGACTTTTTTCTCAATCAGGTTTGTCCAGTGTCTATAAACTCAATTAGAAAAAGAGTGTAACATTCATGGGTGTAAGAATGTAACTGGGGGGGAACCACAACAAAATAAAAATCCAAGTTCAACAATGATTCTTAAAGTGGAAGTAAACTACCTTTTAAGGTCAAAAGAGCAGCATCTGCCAAAGGATAAAGCCCAGAAGACACAAAGGGGTAGGACAGAAGGATGAATGGAAATGAGACTCACAGGAGGAAGGGGGGAGAGTGGTTACAGTGTGGGTACTAGAATTAATGTTACAAAACAAAATGTGTGTGAACAGTTGACTGGGAAAGCAGCTTGCTTTGTAAACTTGCACTTGAATCACAATTTAAAGAATCAAATATGAGTCCTTGAATATGAGTGAAAGTCCAGAAAAAAATGTTGACCAAGAAGGATGTTGCTACAAAATGTTAAGATGCATAAAATGTACATTTATTTTACTGAGTTAATAGCTCCAATGAAGGCAGAAAATGGCCTACAGAAACAAATGGTTAACTGTGACAATATATACAGAAGAAAGATAACAACTAAAAATTTAAGTTTCAGTCATGTTTATACTTCTCATACTGAGAGTGTGCAGTCTTAGATTTATGTTCTAATACATTACTACATTATATTCTAGAATTACTGGATTAATAAAAAGTAGATGTGAGATGGCAGGCCTACTTGTAAAGACATTATTAAGAATCAAAGTTACTTTCATTTTACCTAAGCTTGAATACACACACTTGTCAATTCATTTCTATGTGGTTGTAACTTCTGAATCATCAACACGAATACAAACATTCAATCAGGATCTCCATTAATCCAAGTAAGTGGTCCACTGGGCTTTCTGTTTTGTTTGAGGTTTCTTTTCCTTTTACAAAAGAGCTTCTAGTGTTGTCTGTTCTGTTAGTAACTCCACAGAGAAATATTTCAATAAGTCAGCCTTCGTGGCTCACAGTGCAAAGTAGAACAGAAATTACTTTGGAAAAATATTGACGGAACAGAAGCAGAATCCCAGGTGGAAGCTCTGGAGATGCCATACCACAATTCATGTACATCACTGATCTGTGAATTCATATACGAGACCTCCAGCCCCCTAGAAGTGCACCTGCTTCCTATGAAGCTACATCCTGGCCCTCTCCTAAGGCAAGTACCAAGGGAGAGCAGATTCCATTTTACTAGAATCTCTCCATCCCCAAAGAAAGGAAGGGATGCAGCTCCCCCTACTGCTTTCCTAGCCTAAGGAAGCTCTAGAGGAATGGTCCTTAGTGAGCTGCGATGCTAACTAAAAGGCCGCATCTCTCTGCTGCTTCAAATCCAACAGTGGCTCCAGAGGAAAAAGAAGGGGAGTCTTCTCCCACTGCAGTTTACAGTCTTGGGATCTCAACAGAGGTTTGCTATGAGTCAGAGCCAAATGGCAGACAATGAGAATGAAAGAATGAGAATGAAAGAATGAGAATTCCTGGCACAGACGCAGTAAAGGCTAGATCCCCGTCATCTCCTGCTGGCCCTGAGAAGGGGCGGGAAATCAAGCTGAGGCAAACACAGATGCCCTCTGAAGGTCCAGAGCCTGCAAATGAAGCCCTCACTGGATCCTAAACAGCACCCCGAATACCACCAGGCCCTGAAGGAAGAGCATCAGTAAAGCTAATAAGCCTTGCAGGGTTTGGGGGGATGATGACGACGGCGTCCCTCCGTAGGAGTACCCATCATGGCAAAAGAAGCAAGATGTATAAGGAAGGACAGTGAAAAGTGCATGGAGAAGGAAGACTGGGAACAGGGGTAGACATTATGGAAACGAAGTATTAATGTGGCAGGAGAGATTTTTTTTTTAAAGGATTTATTTTCAGGTTGGTTCCTATTAATTTATTGCACTATTTCATCTCCATTCCTCTGAAGTGTAGTCCTGACAGTGTAGTTACAGTAGCAGACTCTATTTCACCCCTAAAGCTGCAAAGCACAATTTTTCCCCCCTGAATTAAGTAACAAATGCCTTTGTAGGGCAAGATGCTGAGATGGGCTTTTTGCTGCATTCCAAATGAATCGTGTGGAACTTACTGTATAGAAGTAACAGCAGCGTCACCACATGCTCCATTACGCAATGCAGCATGGTTTCCACTTACACTGTCTTCATTCAAAAGCTCACTGTAATTAATTACACTAATCAATTGCAATTAATGTTATAAGGCAAAATGTCTGAATGAGTGACTGAAAGAAAATCAGTATGATTTGTAAACTTTCATTCAAATTACAAACAAAACAAAGCAAAATCAAACCACTAACCACAATCGCAAACTGGAGCTCATGTACTTCTCTGGCGAGTTTTCCCTACTCAGACGGACTAGAACTCTCATAATTCTGCACACTGACTCACTTCATTGAGGTCCTCCCTCCTACCCACAAGTTGGGAAAAATATCTTTTCTTGAAAACAAATGAGCACCTGAGGATGTTTCTCTGCTCCACGTCCTGACAGCTCCGCCCGCCTCCCTCAACCCCTCTCTGGACGGGCAAGACCCAGGGCCCCTACCTGTACGGTGTGAGGATGTTAAGAGGGGGCGGCTTGTCACTCTGATTGTAAATGTCAGCCACGGGGTTGGGAATGCTGTTCTTGGACACCACCTGTTGGTCCTGGATCGTGGAGCTTTTGAAGGCTTTCTTCATGTTGATATCCTGCAGTGACACTTTATAGAGAGAAGCCCCAAGCCCCACAGTGAGTTGCACAGAAATATTTGCAACTGTTTACAAGTGGAGTGTACTTTCAATCACCATCATAAACACCTCCTGGTTGAACTGGACTGCTGCTTCTGTTGTTCATTTAAAGTCATGCAGTTCACTTCTTCTCAGCGATAAGTAACAGCTATCTCTCTGAAAGAAGTCCCATCTTTCTTTCATGGGGATCTAATGATTTCACTGAACCTAAGATTAGAGAAGCATTCTTTATTTAAATTCTGCTTCCCAGAAACCATACAGGAATATATCGTGTAGCAGGCATACAAATTCAGCAATGGGGCAGTGAAAGTGTATAAGAATAAAAACAGTATCCTAGCAGAGGGAACCATCCAAACAGCTAATATTCATTTCATTCTAATGTATGTGGAAAATACTTGTGCTAAGAGCACACAAGGGTAAATAACGCACTGAGTTTTCTTGGGGGGAAAAATTACAGAATGACAGTGAAATTTCACAAAAACTCCTGTAGCAAAGTTCCTCTAGAATTCAGTAGTAGTGTCTATGTTACAAAAAAGTCTAAAGAGAGCGGCTAGTTATTCTTTTCAGTAGTATAATACCTTACATTTCATGTATTAATTAAAATTCATGTAATGATTTTTAAACACACTTACAGAGGCAGCATATTGGCACTATTATAGCCCACTAGACCCCTAGTGACTAAAGAGACCTATCCACAGCCATCAGGCAAAAAAGCAGCAGGCCCAGTGTATTTTTTTAACTTCTGACCACTATAACATCCATGACAAGAAAGAAGTAACTGAGTGAAATCTCAACTGAGGAAGACACTTAAGGATTTGAGATACTGAAGATGCCCCATTTCAGAAAACTTCGTCTACAGATTAACCTCATCCAGAGTAAAGTGTATCACAGCGCTCCAACCACAGGACGATGAACAGTTAAAAAAAATCACCGTGACAATTTGACAAGTTTAAGATCTTGAGCTTCTTTTTTATCCCCCCTCCTTTTTCTTATCTTGAGCTTCTTATCTGAATAGAGCGGGTGGTTATCCAAATTTTTAAAAAATACGATTCAAATCTTGAAAGTCAGATTAAAAAGAAAATGTTTCTAGCTTCTACTTCTTGTTATAAAATTGGCAAGAGTTCAAAATGGTTGACATCTTCAATGCTCTCCATTTTTCTTAAATTTTGAATTCTAATTTTACTCTGACCTTTGCAAACATACTTTTTTAAAATGAAAACTGGTGAATTAAATTAATAATTCCTGTTTTAAAAAGAGGATCTTTTTCTAAAGCCAATACTATTAGAGGCGACACCGCAGCTCCCAACAGCAGCAATACTACCTAAATGTAGCAGAAAATCAGCTGTCTTTTTAAAGCAACAAGGGAAAATTTAACCAACAGTATATGAAGGAAAAATAGTTCATAATCTAAGTATTTTTCTTCAGGCACCATATTTTCTCATATAATACACACAGGGAAATAAGCATTCACACATACAGCATGCACAGGAAACCACCGTGCAACTATATGCCCTTGGTTATAAAGTACCATACAAAATGCACATTATTTCTTTGCAAGTGTGGTAGATGTGCATACATTTTTTAAACAGATGTGTTTTTCAATTTAATCTCAGTCCTTCATTTAAAAGACACAAAAAAATGAAAAGTTTAAAAAAGAATTATTGACAGTGTTCAATTTTGTTTAATGTACAGCTACGATTTCAAGATTTAACTATAAAATGACTATCAGTTTAACAATGCAACACTTGGGGAGTATTAGTATATTTAAAATCCCTAAAGGACTTCAGAAAAATGCCACTTCTGCCAAATTTAATAAAATGTGAGAATTGGCAGCTTCATGAATATTATTTGTAGGACATGAGCCATATCAAGAGTACTGAGGACAGATCTTCACCCCAAAGCCCAACAGAAGGACAGCATTCCTGCGTGTTAGGCCATACTGTAAAGAGATTAAAAATTTTTAGGTAAACACTATTTACAATAACTACCAGTGACCTAAATGAATACTTTGGTATGGAAAGCATTTGAAGAATCTTTTAAAACAAATCTTTCATTTGTAACTTTTAAAATTAAGATGTGTGTAATAGAGCAGACAGTGCTGGAACATTTGACTCACTAATGAATCCAATGTTGGGGGTCTTTTCCCTCGCTATTCTTAGAAAAGACAAGAAATGCCAGTATACTACCTCAAGGAAGGAAAAAAAGAAACAGTAATTACACAGCAATTAATAAGTACAGTCCTGCCAGCATCACTTCCGGCCCACTGCTCTCATGCAATTACCTACCCTCTTCCACCGTTGAATCCAGCTGCGTAACTTTGACAGCAAGGCGATCAATCCTGTCTTGAAGGGAATTGGCTCTGATGTAGAAGTTGTTGGCCTCATTAAACAACTCACCAAATATGTCTTCAGCATGTTTGCCTGTAGAAGAGAACAAGCTGAGAAAACCATCGGCTGAGGAGCTGCTGAAGGAGCCTTCACACTCAGGCCCCATTACTGTCAGCATGTGGGACACCGTGCAAATGACTACACGAAGGAAACATCACAGGCAAAGGCCCTGTGAACATCCTAAAATGTGTGAGGGGTCTGCACAGACATCTGAAGTTACAGACTTTTAAAATGCCCAAGGAACACCAAAAAAAGGGAAAGAAAGCCCCAAACCCATTTCCTCAAGTCCGTTTCAACTCTAGATGAGTCTCTATTGCGCTTTCAGGCTATAAATCTTTATGGGAGGCAACTGTCTCATCTTTCTCCTGTGGAGCAGCTGGTAGGTTCAAACTACCAACCTTCAGGTACATCCTGTGTGCTGTCAGGTCAGAAAGAACCCATAGCTGACCCTTCAGCAGGTTTTCAAAGGCTGTGAATCACATAGGGAGAGATTACTCAGCTCCTTTCCATGGAGCAGCTGGTAGCTTTGGGATTGCAGCACAACTCAACACATATGCCACCAGGGTTACTTTAACTGAATTGCTTTATTTTTTTTTATTTGCTACCAGAGAGGTTTTCTTTAATGCTATTAAGTTTTTACTTTACGCTAGTGTTTTACCTATGGTTATCACCCAAGGCTTTTTTCCTCATTACATGCAACTTCTCTTGTAGGGGGAAAAAAATAATTTACTCTTAATAATGCATGATTTATGTAAAAACACAATCTCAGGAGAACGTTCCTTATATTTCCAAGATAATTAAAAAATAATGATAGCTTCTGAATTTACAGATGTATCAATATATTCATAATCAAAGACATTATACAATTCATACTGTAATTGCTATATCCTGTCAAGTCAGAACTGACCCACCGCTGACCCCCTTGAAAGGTTTCTAGGGGCAGTAAATACCATGGGAGGAGATTGCCCATCTTTTTCCCATGGAGTAACTGGTGGATTTGAACCACATACTTCTGCACTAGCAGCACATTTCTTTATCACTAGGAAGCTATGGTGGTCTAGGAGTAGGAATCTGTATATGCTGCAATCCCAAAAGCACATGGTTCCAATCTGCCAGGTGCTCTGCAGGGGAAGGATGGACCATCTCCTATGTGATTAACTGCCTCCGAAACCCCAGTGGACAGTCAGCTATGGGTCAGTGCTTACTCGATGGTAAGTAATAACTCTTAGACTTCTACAAGGGAAGTAATTTTTAAAGTCATACTTAAATTTTTTAAATTTTTTTTTTTTTAAAAAGCTGTGAAAAACAGAGAAACAAAAGTTAGCTGGTTTCCTTTTGCCTGTGTCAGATATTCAGAAATAGGTTAACAGTTTAGTTTGGATATGGAACATTGGGAATACTGCTGCTGTTGTGAGGTACTGCAAATCACAGCACCACTGTGTACAGAGAGGAATCCTGCCCTGTCTTGCGGCACCTCACAGCCTCTGTTCTGCTTGAGTTCACTGCTGTAGCCACTGCATCAGTCTTGTCCTAACACCATGATTATGTTTTGATTCTCAGTCGGGTGCCTAAGTACAGCAGACCCTACTCATTGGAAAACGTGTCCTGCCCAATTCCCGCCCTACAATTATTAAGTACATTAGCATCCAGAAGATTTTAAGCTGCTCAAGGACTAGGAAGACATTTAGTCTCTCAGCTTTGCACATCCGACTCCCTTGTGCAAGGAGCATTTGTCAACTGAATATTTGCTAACAGGAAAATGCTGGTTTTGTATTCCTCATGCCTTTTACTCACCAGATGCTCCTTGAGCACAGGCACAGATCACACTCTCAGAGAACTTACATAGAGAAAAAGGATGAACTTACATGGAGAGAGAGGATGCAAGGGTCGGAGCAGGGGTCCTGTGACTGAATCAAGTTCAACTGTTAGAGCACAAGAGGGGGCATCTGAGTGTATACACTAATCTCCACCCTGAAGGACTGATTGTAGGTTAATCAGTTGACTCTGTTCATGCATTTTTATTTATTTATTCATTTAAAACTCTTCCCTAAACTCATCTGTACACTAAACAACAGTTTCAAGTTCAGGCTCACGGCTTTTGAATTGGTTCCAATTCACAGTGACCCTCCAGTGATTTCCAAGCTATAAATGCTAATGGGAGGAAACTGCCTATCTTCCTACCAAGGAGCTGCTGGCGAATTTGAACCTCCAGCAGCACAGTGTTCTATGGACTATGTCACCAGAGCTTCCTAACAACAGACAGCAGAATTAATGAAGAAGGTTCATCTTGTACCTTACACTCTCTTAAAGAATTTCCTGTCTCAGGTAAGGGTGACAACAGTAACACTAAACACAGAACAGAAGCTCATGGGGCAGAGAATCGAAGTTAATGGGCTTGAGACAGTTGAGAGAAGACAGAGAATGGTGACAGGGTATGACCATTGTCACTGACTATGCAGAAATTGTTGAAGGGGAGTGTGATCTGTTCTGTATATTTTCACCCAAAATAAAATAAACACTAAAATAAACACTTCATGGAGCACCTCCTATGACCAGGCATGCACCTCCTGTGCCCAGGCATGCACCTCCTGTATCGAGGCTTGCACCTTCTATGCCCAGGGATGTGCCTCCTGTGCCCAGGCTTGTACCTCCTATGTCCAGGCACGCACCTCCTATGACCACACAAGCACTTCCTATGTCCAGGCTTATACCTCTTATGTCCAGGCATGCACCTTCTATATCAAGGCTTGCACCTCCTATGTCCAGAGATGTGCCTCCTGTGTCCAGGCTTGCACCTCCTATGTCCAGGTATGCACATCCAATGCCCAGGCATGTACTTCCTGTGCCCAGGCATGTACTTCCTGTGCCCAGGCATGTACCACCTATGTCCAGGCATGCACAGGTCAATACTACAAGGATCAGAACTGAGGGAAACCCTGTCCCATGACTGTATATCCTACTGGATGAAGACCAGAAACAGGTAAGTAAAACAAGAATGTATAATCTGTTAGATTCTGGTGGGTGCTAAGGAGAAAAGGCTGTCGGGAGGAACAGCAAGTGTACATGTGTTCATGTGTGCAGAGGCATGGCGCTGATTTAGTTAAGAGTTGTTATATTTTGAAATGATGTTTGTGTCAACTGTATTTTGCATATAACTCTCTATAAATATATATATAAATATATATATAAATATATATATATAACTGGAATAGGCAAACAGGAAATAGCAGCTTTGGGACTGTGTGATGTGTAAGACCTTATAATACTAACACACACACCCACACACACACACTATTTGTGTGAAAATGTGAGTGTGTGAGTGAAGTGAGGGAGCAAACTGTGTGGGTCTCAGCAGCAGAGATGAGCCAGGAGAAGGAATGGAAGTGCAGAGCCTATAGGAGAGGATGTATGGATGGCATGTCTGAGAAACAAACAGAATGGAAGTCAGGGTTATGGATGGGGCTATGTGGGGGAGAGGAGCCAGAGATGAGGTGGGAAGGTGGGTGGAGCTGGACCATGTGAAAGCTATTGTGCAGACTTGGGAGTTTTATTCTGAATGAAGTGACAAGGTCAGGAAGGGTTCTGCACAGAGTAACAGGATGAGCATTCCCTGCTATGTCTGCTCTGGCCGGGCTGCTCTGCTGAGGATATACTGAGGGGCACAGGCAAGGCGGCTCGTCTGGTGAAAGAAGAAGCCCAAGAGCTGCCTGCCTGGGTCCCATGGGCGGCAGGGAGGTAAGGAGAAGAGGTGGGTTTGAGATAATGAAAATCTATGTGCAGATGATGGGTGGGATTTTGCTGGCAGGTCCAGCTGCAGTATAAGGAAGGAAGGTATCCAGGATGGCCTAGAGTTTTGGGATTAAGCGGCAGGAAGGATGGATTTGGCACTTCTTGAGAGGGAAGGCAGTGGGAGGCAGAGGCTTAAGAGAGGAAATGAGAGTTCTGTTTGTGGCAGGTTAAGACAGGAGTTATTTATTAGTTGAGAATTTAGAAGATGTCCTTCTGGAGATAAAAACTTAGGAGTCATCAGCATTGGAAAAAATTCAGTTGCCTACAATACTTAGTAGCTTGGTAAATATTTCCTGAATAAACAGACTCCAAAAACAACAACAGCAACAACAACAAAAAAATCAGTTGCCACTGAATTGACTCCAAGTCACTGACAACCCCAGCTGGCAGTCAGAGCAGAATCATGATCCATGGGGATTTCACCGACAATTTTTTTAGACTGCATATTAATAACACTAGATTTTTACGTAAGCTCCCTTATATACACAAAACACTGCATCTGCCAAGTTAGCCCTTTTTTTCAGGTGTATAATTTAATGGTATCAGTTACTATGATCATGTTCCACTGTCACTGCATCATCTGATCAGCATAACCTCACTGCCCACAATAGCAGGTCATTTGAAATCTAGTCACCAGGCCTTTTTTCTGAGGCACCTGTGTGGACTCGATCTACCAACCATTCTGTTAGTGGCCAATTGCTTTAATCATTGGCATCAACCACAGATGCCTGTTTTAAGGCAAATGCCTGTAGTTTGTGTGAAAACAATTTTATTTGGTACCACTGTGTTGATTATTGAAGTGGAAACAGTCAACAATTTTACATAAAAGTCAAAAGAGAAACAACTTGCTGCCAAACTAAAATCAATAGCCTGAGTTTTTCCTTTTCTCCTCAGTTTGGTGGTAGGAAAGGTTTGGGGTTTTTTAATTTGTTGTTGTATACCGCTGAGCTGGAACCGACACACTGCTGACCCTCCAGAAAGTTTAACTCCAGAGACAGTTAATTGTGCGGAAGGAGACTGCCCATCACTCTCGCACGGAGCAGCTAGTAGCCTTGAACCATGTCTTTGGGATCGCAGCACAGCTTCTTACTGCTAGGCCACCAGAACTCCCCTTTTTATTACATAGTTCTTTGTTATTTGTAAGTAGCCCTAATAGTACAGTACATAACGTGTTGTGAAATAATACAAAATTCTATTAATTACATTTAAGACAAGTGGTAGTGGGGTGGATGGTTCGGATCCAC